ACCTTACTGTGAGAGCAGAACGGATTTCTTTCCCCCTCCTCCCCCACCTCCTCCTCCTCTTCCCCCCTCTTTAGTTTGTCAAGTATGTAGACATTTTCTTAACATTCTTTTAAATGAGTTATTCTCTGACAGGAACTAGCAGGTAAACAAGATACATTATTTCCCAAGATTTTCATATGATGGTGAACAAGTGCATTGCAAAACAGATCACATTCCAGAGTCGTAACTAGTTCTGGAGGCTTAGTTACACAATTGCCAACTCTGTCATCTTCCGCAGCGATGTGCTCTTACGGAAAAGTAGAGTCTGAAGCATGATAGAGGAGCACTTTTAAGCTTTTGGAATTTTTGTTTTCTGTCATATAATATTCTTCAAGCTTCTGACCTTTAGCTAGGCAACACAGCATAGCCCCCTGAGGCCCCTGGAATACTGTAAAGAAGTAAGAAACTCTACTCTAAGACTCCAGCCCAGGGTTGTAACATGGAACTCAGAAGTCCGAGTCTGCTTAGAGGCAAAAAATTTTTTAAACAGAGTAAATAAGAATCACTTATTGTATTAATTTTTATTGATCTTTTTTTGGTTTTGTGATTTTGCAGTACAGGTCTTCTTGTGATACAAATAATTGTAAAGTATAAAGATGTTTAATTCTGTCTCATATTTTATGTGTCTAGAATTTTTCTTCCTTAAAGTCAAACACGGAGTTCATTTTAATCTGTACTAAGGTACTGCTGAGTTTTGCCCATTGCGGTAAATGAGTAGTCAGTGACTTTTGCATGTCTCCATTGTCTTAAGGCGTCCTTGACCTTTTTTTCCCAAAATAAAATAGTTATAAGTACATTTTTATTTTAAATTATTTCAACACCTATTTATACTAATGTAAGGAGGTTGCCCCAGACCCAAGTGGGAGGAGGGTTATGGGTAGGGGAGTACAGATAGTGGAGGTGAGAGCCGTGTGGTAAGAGTGTCCTGACTCCAAAGATGTGGATCACAGATCTGGGTAGATTTCGCTCAGGGACATTACCATTCTCCCAGTCTCCCCTGCTGGAAACCTAGAAATCATCTTTTCCTCTGCCATCCAGAAATAGATCCGTACTGATTATTTATTTAGAAAAGTCTCTGGCTTTATCTTTTTCACTCCCTTGGCCAGAGCATCCGTTTTTATCTTTATCAGCATACATCTGGTCTATAAAGGCATTTGAGAAGAAATGAACTAATACATTGTGAGCATGCCATTTTATGTACATTTAATCCTTAACAAACCTGAGAGGCAGAGCAGTTTTCCATGCATTTTGGGTTGTGAAAACTGAATGAGCCCTTACAGGTGTATTCTGTTGCTAAGGAATCTCCTGGCCCTGAGGTTTGCTGCCCCGGTTTGGTACATTCAGTACCAAAATACCATGATAATCTCCCTAAAATGTAATTCTTGCCTAATAAAACCTAAAATTCCTGATGAAGCACTTTACAAATTACTAGGGATTTTTCACGTTTGATTTCATTGTACACAAAGTATTCCGTGAGGTTAGTATTATATTACTACCTTCTAAAGTAAACTGTGATGACTTCTATTTTCATGAAACCAGTGATAAACTCTTGATATTGATGACATTGACCATTTGAAGCTCTTTGATGCTGTTATGGCCATTTAGTCACATCTCTCAGTGTCAACTGGAGTTAACTTTAGCTAGGTGAGCTTCCGTGGGGTCCTTTTCAGGTATCGTTCTCCTCTCTTCCTAACATCTGCTCGCACACAGCTCATGTCCATGTCACCTTGCTTCCCCACCACTCCCAGTGTGAACTCAACCAGAGCCTGGGGCCCATTTCAAGGGTGCCTTTGTGAAGGAGCCTTCCCCAATAATGTATGTCTTCCTGTCTGTTTTTTCTTCTTGATTTCCTTAGTCAGATATGTTTCCCCTTGAGCGTAATTTAAAATTTTTTCCCCTAACTATAAAAATAGTGTGTTGCTTCATGTTAAAGCATTATATATAGGATACTTGAAAGTGAAAAGTTAACTCCTGGCTTCCCAGTCCTAGCTCATGGAAGTAACCACTGCTGTGTGTCTTTACAGTCTTATTTCTGGGCATAAACAAGAATGTATGTGGGCACACAGACACACATGCCTATTTACACACGTGGGAGATAGAGATAGATCTGTTTTATACACAGACACCATCTTACAACTTTCTTTTTTCACCTGACAGTTTATCTTGGAGAACTTCCCCTGTTGGTGAGTGGATGTGATTTCATTGAACTGTATTGCCTTATTGTCTCCAGTTGTGTCACGTCACATCATTTTATGCATCTACATCTTCTCTTCCTTTGAAAAAAGGAAATGGCAACCCCTCAGGGACAGGGGTAATTACATATGCAGCCTCCTGTCTGTTCCTTTCCTCTTCACTCCATGTGCATCGATTGCATGTTTCACTGTGTGTGCTGTGGCAGATTGAGAATGTTTGCTTCCCTTACCCCCTGAGGAGTTAGGATCTAGTAGGTACGACTCTACATTTATACATATCACTGTAACACAGGAAGAAATTGAGAAGTAACACAGATTTCTCTTACTGGAAATACAGCCCATCAGGTTATTTAAACAATCCTCTTGCTGAAAACAATCCAAACTATTGAATATGTGTAAGAAAACATCCTCAGAGCAGCAAAGGACTGAAAATCAAAGGAAATCTAAGGAACTAAGGAGTCCTTGGAGGTTTAGAGAACAGGAGCTGCTGTTGCCCCAAGGGCATTTGATGCAGTGAATTTGAGTTTTCCCTTCTCATAGGTAGCAAAACTATACAGAAAGCTACAAAATGATTAACATAAGATTCAGCATGATGATATGTAGGGGGTGGACACAGGGAGTTTCTGGGGTACTGAGAATTTTCTATTTATTGACTTGGTGGGAGCAGCCAGAGTAGTTTAGTTTCTAAACAGCATGTTTATTTTGTGTACTTTTTAAAATACGTTATAATTGACAACAAAGAATTAAATGTAGAAGAAGTTATAGAAATATATATATATATATATATAAAATGATCTCACGCATGTGTGTATATTACATAAGTAGGATGGGTGATATATAAATATTGCATGTTGATATAATATATAAATACGTTTATGTATATAAATATGTGTGTCTGGGGCTGCAGAAGTGTGTGTGTGTGTGTGTGTTTCATATACATAGAAAAAGATCTGAAAGAGTATACACCGAACTACTGAGAGCAACCTTTTTTTAATTTTTTTTTTAACATTGTTATTTATTATTGAGAGACAGACCATGAGCATGGGAGGGACAGAGAGGTAGGGAGACACAGAATCTGAAGGAGGCTCCAGGTTATGAGCTGTCAGCACAGAACCTGACGCGGGGCTCGAACTCAACAAACCGCGAGATCATGACCTGAGCTGAAGTCGGACGCTTAACCGACTGAGCCACACAGGCACTCTTACTGAGAGCAACCTTGACAGGTAGAACAGGGGTGGGGAAGCAGAAAGGAAAGAACTTCTTTTTCATGCCTCGCTGTTGTAAAATTTTTAAAGTAATCATCGTTATTATTTGGGTTTGTTTGTTTGTTTTTGTCAGACTTACAGAAAGATATGGCTTCTGTCTCTGCCCATAAATATAAAAGGACTCCCTCTGCTTTATGCCACTTGGCACAGTACCGTGTTTGTGTGTTTGTTTTAAACACACATATCTTGTTCCTTTGCAAGACTTAAAGGGAAGAAGACAGTGTTGTGTTTGTCTTTATATTTCTTGTACCTTAACAAGAACAAAAGGCTATTAGGCATCCAGTAGACGCAACATTTCCTTAGAGGCTCTTTTGAATATTATTTTGTATCTGGCACAGCAGTGGGCGTAAAGTCGGCACAGTGAATACAGGTTGATTTGAATTTAACTGACGCTTTGTGGAAGCTGTAGGCAAATGTGGAGACCACCGTGCGGTGCCCCGCTTGATCTCAGAAAGCAGGGAAATGAAAATTCTCTCTGAAAATTAAACAAAGAAATGAACATCTAAGAGATTAAAGCCAAGAGAGCCGTTGTGATCTTAAGAGACAGAATGACTCCTTGGACAGTAAGATTCGATTATACCCTAATTGATGGTATTGACATCTTAAAACCATGCAAACGTATAAAATCTCCATCAGACGGGCATTTTGTCTGTCTCTAAAACAAAAAGAAAAGCAATCAAATCATTGTTGTGATACCCCGCCAAGCACTGTCTGAGCGGTAGCACCTGCCAGGCTGAAGCGGGCATCCAACCTGCCTGGCAGGTGGGTAACCCTGTTGCAGAGCTGCGGAGCCTCACCCCATTTGCACTGGAATCCTCTGTAATTAACTCCTTGCTCTATTTCCATGCCCACCACGCTTCCCCGTGGTAAATTTTCCCTCCCAAGGAGATAATTCCGTATCAGGCTGATGGACATTCAGTATGCCTGATTCTTCTGTTGCTCCCTGTAAATAATAAAGTCGTCTTTTTTTTTTTTTTTAAATACATCTTGTGTGTCTTGTGAGTTTTGTTAGCATGAGTCTGTGTTCCTGGGTCCAGTCAATGAGATTGGGTGTCAGAGTCTGTGAGGCTCTTCAAGGTAAATACTACCTTGAGGGCATCTCTTGGAGCAGACTGCTGGATTTCCCAGGTGATGGCCATCCATGTCACTGTGCTTCATGTTTCCTTTCCATTCCACACGTCATAGGAATAATTCTTCCCAGAAGTAGTGTATTAAGAACATCTTCATGATGTGCACATTTCAGTTAGAGGGTACCAAATTATATGATCTCGGTGAGAGTAGACCCTTTTCTTCGGGGTATCACTTGTTTGGTTTGGCAAATTTCACACCTCTATGGAGGGGGTGGAGTATATATTATAGATGCCACATTATGAGGCTCTCTGACAGCTCATTTCCAGTTCCAGCTTCTCAGCCTCTTCTGGTTTCACTCTGGCTCTCATCTCATCATCCACATCGATCCTAGTGTCATTCTCGAGTCACTTCCTAACCTGGGTCTCTCTTGCAGCAGCGAAACCTAAAGAAGATGGAAGACACAATGAGGTCGACAAGATTAAGGATAAGGATGCAAGTAGAGCAGGCAATGAACGAGGTTATAGAATTTTTTTCTTCCGTTCTCATCTTTCTCTCTTTCCTCCAAACAGTCCTGGTAGCTTTTGAAAAGGCTTCCGACCCCACACACTGCTATGGAAAAAATACGGCCCAGTTCCCAGTGACATGTTCAGGGTATCTGTGAATATAACGGAGCTTAAACCGGATTTCAATAAATCATTAACAGCAACTTCCTGCTAAGAAGGATATCAGAGCAAAACCCATTACAACTCTTAAGTGAATCCTGGAATTTTGTTTTAAGTGAATATAGCATCAGATATTACACTGTCAGGTGGGACTTTACTAAACTGTAATTTTTCCCCTTTCTCCTCTTGCCCTTTCACCCCGGCTTTCAACCAGCATAACTGATCACTGAATTTCACCATAAATGTATCAGGAATTTAACCAGAGCAATCCTCACTTGTCACTAAATAAGCAGTCCTCACTTGTCACTATTTAAAGTAATACATTTCTGTGAGTAGATTAAAACCTCACAAAAAGTCCAGATAGAACAGATGAATATAGAATCTTAAAGGACTATTTAAGTCACGATTTTGTCCATTTATACAGTTCGAGTTCGGCAGCAGAATTACACAATGGTGGATTATTACCGTGTAAGATAAATTCATGAGGCTGCATCCTTGTGCATCACGAGAGCCTGTTCCTGTGTGTTGTTAGGTGATCCGGGGCTGAATTGCTAGACAGGTAGTGTGGACCATTCCTGATTACCTAGATGCTAATTAACTAGTCAAGAGAATTCGCCAGGCCTTTGGACCCAATTCACCAAATGGGTTTTCATTTCTCTTGGATGCAGGGTGCTGCTATTGAGGACAGGGTCCAGTTTCCATCTGTTGTAAGTGGTTGGTTTCATACCTAGAGCCATCTTAGATATAAGATTAGTAGCTGCCTGCAGACCCTGCAGTGATGGAAATTAGGCTAGCTGGCGTGGAAACACAAAATAATCAAGCCTTCCCCACTCTGAAGTACCTGTCCTACCTTTGTGGATTAGTGACATCTTAGACAAAAGTTAGCATTTTCTAAAGCAAACCAGCCAACATGGTGATGTGAAAATTTACCAAAAAAAGAAAGATCATATTCCCTTTCTTTATTAAATGTTTAATTAATTCAGGGGAGGATGCACCTGGTTTTACATTTATTTTTTTAAAAAATACCTAGAACTTTTAAAACTGCCTGTGTTTTTCAGAACTTACATACATTTTATAATTTTACCAAAGTGCCTGATACATTGTCAAGATTCCACCTACAAATCGGGAAATGCATGAACTGTGCTATGAATGGAGGAGTAGAGCCTGGAAAGGAGGCTCACCTGAGATATGTAATGAGGGTTTGACCTCCTCCCCTTCCTGTGCTTCCCTTATCATAAGCCCAACCCACTGCCTGCCTTTTCCTTTTCTCTTTCTTTTTGTTGAAGGTCAGAGTCTAGATAGGGCAGTCACTGGCCAGAACTGAAAAGACAAACTTCCCTGAAGTTAGGCAGCATTAGGGCAAGCTGAAGTTTTCCATTTTCAAAATTACACAGATCTCTTCAGGCTTTGAGACCTTGGCGTGGAAGCCATCCTTTCACACACTGACTGCATGAGGACCCGATGCAAAATTGTTGAGGAGACAGAAGTTCCTTTTTTCTCTCTGTTCTGTCTCGGTTCTTTGGTTGCATCTGGTTTTCTTCAGCCCTCCTGAAGCCCTTACTCTCTGACCTTGTCCCTTTTCCGTGGAAGGTTTACCTTAAGGCTGGATAGCATTAGGGCAACCCCTGTGTGCCATGTGTGTGGTGTGTATGTATCTGCATTTTGCTTTTGCTAGTCTGTAATACACGTTAGTCCTTTCTAATTAAGCATCTCTTAAATTTTTAGGATTATTGACTGTTTAGATGGTCTAAAAATTACCCTCAATAAATGTAGATACACATAAAATGTTGGGTACAATTCTGTGGTATTCATGTACCTAATGCCTGTTTATGGATCTCCACTGGATTCAGAACCCCCCTGCCATGATAGAATTCCAAAGCTGTCTTCTTGCATGGCCACTTGTGGTATATTCATTCACTGGATACCCATTAAATGCCTACTCTGTGCCAGGAACCATGCAGGGCACTGAGATACGATGTAAAGGACAGTGGCCCACCCACTATAATTGAGGAGATGGGCCAGAAACATGCAATTACAACATAGAACTGATGCAGTTGTAGGGGAAATGTGGAATATTTGAGGAGAACATCAGATGAGCGTATAATTCAGCTCCGGGACATCAGTTAATTCTCCTTACAATGATACTGGAGTTATACTCCCAAGTAGTAGGAACGCTATGTACAAAGTCAAGGGCATTATAGACTTGTAGGTCACGCTGAGAAATTCGGATTTGATTTTAAAAGGCCTTAAGGTGACAGATGGTAACAAGTGAACTCAGGATGATAATGGTAAATGAGTGAACTCAGCATGGAAAGTGGGTTGAGGCTGGCTGATGTCAGCAGCAAGCCAGGCAGACAGTAGCAGTAATTTTAACTAAAATACTGATTACAGATGGAAAGAAGACAATGAGTGGGAATTAAATCAATTGGAAGCCACAGAATTTAGTGATTGGTTGAATTCATACCTTCAACAAATACTTGTTGTGGTGCTATGTATTAGGCACTTTTCAGTATTTTTTGCTGGCCAACCCTGAGCCCTTTGATGTGAGGATTCATGATTCCCTTCAGCTAAGGTGGTAGGGAGTGTGCGAAGTTTAATATATAAGCTCAGGTTACCATCTTGAACCAGAAGCCTATCCAGCACATCCTGATGAATGGTAGTGAACCAGAAGGGACACCATCTCTGTCTTCATGTCCAATGGCAATGGCATCCAGGCTTCTGGAGTGGACAGCTCAGTGGATGATGGTGCTCGTCACCAGAGATGGAACAGACGTGTCTCAGACCAAAGGTCCTGGGCAGGAGAAGTGCTTCTTCAAGCTATAAATGCCCCTCCTGAGATTTCAGGATATCCCTGTAGTTGAGAGCTAGCGTGCTTAATAACATGTTGCTGATGGGAGAAAGTTTTTACATAAACAGCATTCAGGGAGGGGTTTGAGAATCACAGATAGAGATGATAGTTGGAGCACAGAGGAGTATGTAGAATGAGAGGAGAGGAGGGCTGAGGATTGGACCAAGCAAAGCATGGAGAAAGAAGAGGAATATGAGGAAAAAGCCAAAGAATATAAAGAACGTAATGCCTGTCTAAGATGGAGCCTGGGGGACACAAGGGAGGAATGGCAAGGTGACAGTATCATTCAGCTTCAGGATGTACTAGACAGACTTCTGGTTCAAGATGGTAGCCTGAGCTGACATGGTAAACTTCACACGTTCACCTCCACTTTAGCTGAAGGGAATCGTGAATCTTCACCTCAGAGGGTTCAGAGGTGGCTGGCAAAAAATGACGAAGACCTTTTATGCTGTGTGAATTATATCTCAACAAAGCTGTTTTAACAAAAAGAACAATGATGAAAAATGCTCTTTTAAATGTATTCTAACATAATTGTTTTACTTAAAAAATGATAAACTGTAAGCATCCAGATGCATGGAGATGGGATAGGGTGAAGTGAAAGAGAAGATGTCCACAAAAGGAGAATAAATTTGTACCCCGTTACCTACTAACATTGTATGCGGAAAACGTCGGAGCATCGCATTGGACATCAAGGGGAGAGGGCTGGTACTCCAATTTTGCAGCCAGCTGGGGCATCATTGCTTGAAAGGGCACAGAAAGATCATCTTCGACATTAAATGACTTGCAAAACATCCCATTCATGTACTTGTCCTGAAAAAAAAAAAAAAAATGCAAAGACATGTTAGAGCCAAACAAGTAATTAGAATAAAGAACTCAGTAAAGGGAAGAAATCATAATAGAAGTTTTCTTAAGTGGTATGGAATTAATTATGAATAACAGTTATTCATGAAGTAGTAAGCCATAATGCCAACAATAAGTGATTCCTCAAAAAATGAATGTAACAGACTAATAATAACAGGGACCTACAATTGTAAAAATACTTCGACAGTTTGGCAGGCAGAGGAAGAGGTAGGAGTGCCAGAAGACTCCATGCTGTTTTACTGTTGGCTTCTGTAGAGAAGTAAGAGGTGAAGAAAGCTCTGAGCAAATTGTTCTAGAAATGGGATGAAAAGTTTCTTGATTGGCCAAGAATTTTGGGAGAACTAGTTTTTTAAATTTTTATTTTTAACAGTTTTTTCATTTTTGAGAGACAGAGCATGAGTGGGGGAGGGACAGAGAGAGAGAGAGAGAGAGAAACACTGAATCTGAAGCAGGCTCCAGGCTATGAGCTCTCAGCACAGAGCCTGACATGGGGCTTGAACTCCCAGACCTCAAGACCATGGACCTGAACTGAAGTCAGATGCCTAACCAACTGAGCCACCCAGGCACCCCAATGGAGACTTTTTAATATGCTAAGGGATGGGAGAGTGGGTGGTAAGGAGAAACAATTTGGAGGCATAAAAAGCAATGGAACATAGTTTAAATTAAAACTGAACATATTCATTACCACACAGTATAACTACCCTACCCTGTTAAAAGACAAGTATTCAAATTGATTTTTTTTTTTTTTTAGAAATTCAACCATAATGTGATCCAGAGTCACAGCTTAAAAAAAAAAAAAAGTATATAGATGCAGAGGGAATTTTTTAAAAAAATATTTGAAAAAATAGTATTTTTAACCCTCTGACAAAAAAATTCAATCTATAAAATGAATGAACAAAGCTAAACCCTTCAAAAATTGACTCTAAATGGCTAAAATGGGTAAAAATAACATTAAAAGAAAGATTTCTCCTCCAAAGTGCAAATTCTACATTTATCAGTCATTTTTGTCAAATCCAAAAAGAGCAGGTATTTCCTGTGCTTTCTGATGCTGCTTCAAAGCACAGAAAAATAAGGAAAATTTCCCTGTTTATTTTATGAAGCTAGAATGGCAAGGACCAAATTCTGTGTCTTTTCTCTTTCTCCAGA